TCTTTCAATTTAGGGTATATTGTATTAATATATTGAGAGCCTTCCTTAAGAATTTCTTTAGGAATATGTTATATAACCGATGATAATATAGATTTTAAGGCTATTAGAAAACATAATCTACAATCATAGTTAGCGATGCTGAGAGTTCTGCTTTTTTTACGAGACTTGTAAATAGGGGATTCCTTCTTGTAGCTCTTTTTCATAGGTATTCCACTTCGCACCACTTTCTTTTTATAGCATAGAAGTTTCGGTCAGAGGTGTTTAGGTTAGAATCATCATCATCAACATATTCGTCATCTTCTTCTACTTCCTTTTCAAGTATGTATTCAATTTCAGGCTCTTCGAAAACTTCCTCCTCAAGTACATATTCTTTTTCAGGCTCTTCAGAATCATCAGGGTGTTCTCTTGTGATCAGATCTTTCTTAGCATTTTGGTATACATAATTAACCTTTTTAGTTGTCTTAACTCCAGGACAATTAGTTTTTATATGGCCAGCCTTTCTACAAACTGAGCAAAAATGAACAAATCGTTTAACTAGTGCTTTTTGTTTTACCTTTCTAACAATTTTTTTATAGCATTAACACTTCTAGGCTTAAAAGGACCCTTTCTTACATGAGCTGTTCTGCTTCCCAATTTGTTTTGAAGACCATCGTAGATAAATTTTTCTAAAGTTGCATCATCTGTTGCTATTCCTGTATATTGCAAATCTCTTGCAAGTTGAATTTTAAAATCATCTTTTAGTGGAATAGAAGTAAGTAGTACTGGTTGAAGTTCTAGTTGAGGTAGTATAGGTATTTGACTTGTACTCACACTTGGATTACGTTCTAACTACAAATCTTTTAATTGTATAAAGAATGCATCTATACCGTCAGGATTAGCTATTCTCATCTATGTAAAAAGATCACCAGATAATTGACTTTTAAGAAATCCTAAAATTTGTGCATTATTATCTGGAATACCTAATAATAAAGGTCAAATTCTTTTTTCATATGTATCAGGTGAATCGCTAGGTAAAAATCTTTTTTGAATTAATCTCTGAAAGGCCACTTGTTGACTACCTATTGTTTCACGCTGATATTTTACTCTCATCCATGCTCGTAAAGTATCTGGAGAATTAATAGAATTAGCAGTATAGGAATCATTTGCTAGAACTGGTATATACTTTCCTCCTAACTTGGATTTTAAAAGACCAAGTTTAATTGTATTATCAAAGTCCCCTGCATTAGCATTTTCAAGTGCTGTCATATTTGGCTCTAAATGCGATATAGAATTCCATATTTTATCTAAGTACTCATTAGGAGATTCCTATCCAGTATATTGTTCATGTTTAGCAAAAATAGTTGCTATTGTATTATATATCGGTTGACATCTAGCTTCTACCATGTTTGGTGAATTAATAAGCGAATTATTTTGTAGATTTAAAATAATTTGCTGGGAATTTACCTTCCTAGCCTTCCATTTTTGATATCGATTAAATACCCCAGACTCTATTAAATTCTGCTAAGTCTGCCTCAGCTTTGTGCCTTCGATTTATTAGTCGAAGTCCTACCTTTTCTTGCAATAATATATGATTACGCCTTTCTGCTCTCTGAGTTCTAAGCCACCATACCTGTCATTCATCTGTTTTATTATTATATGCTAAAGTTAATAATTGAGCTCTTCAAAGACATTCATTTCTAACATTTGCATATCATTCATAAGGTTATTGACTTGCCCATTAGCCATATTGATAATATAAGGCCTCATTTGATACCCTTTGCATATGAATACGAATAGTTGCTAATTTTATTCGTATTCCATTCAAAGTGTTTTTGAGGTCAAATGATCTATTTCCATCAACATATATTTCAACACGGTCTATAGCTGTTGCAATATCTCTTAAAAGATCTGGTAATTCCATTGCTGATCTATTTATTTGGGTTAATTTTTTATCTGTAATCTCCTTAATTCACTTCTTAAGCTGATCAACCTTGTCTTCTAGCCTTAAAATATAGATATTTTGAGCAGTACTAGCATCACCTTTATATCTTAAATCCTGTAATGCTTTGTGGAGATGCTATTTAAGGGATTTTATATCAATCTTAAGAGATTCTATTTCACTTTCGTGGGCTATGATTGCTAAATCCTGGTGAGATAATGTCTTATAACAGCTTTCTAGTTCCCTAGTGAGGGCTTTTAGTTTTTTATCTTTAAGTTTGTTTTTGACTATTTCGTCAGATAATTTTTTGCGCCTCTTTATTATATTAGTTCTAGAATTTCAATATAAGCTTCTTTCTCGGTTATAGACCTTCGAAAGGATGGGTTTGCAAAGAGACCTGGCCTAGTCATTTTAAATTAAAATTTTGGTCTTTTTTCGAATGAATATAAGAAAAAAAAATGTTGATTCTTATTATACAAATAGATTCGAATAAAGCTAGAAATTTAGATATATCTATTGATTTGCAAAAAATTTATTATCAGCCCTTAGGCTATCAGAGGACTGCGAAAAAATTGTATGAAGCTTCTCTAAAAGCTGGATTCGATTTTATATTAAATGAAGTATATGATTGGCTTGAGAGACAAGCTGTGCATCAGATTCATAAACCTCTGACCTAAATATATTCTATATGCAAGTTTTAGTCTATTTCTATTCATAATGAGATACATTAAACAGTTATTGATTCCTATTATACAAATAGATTCAAGTAAAGCTAGAAATTTAGATATATCTATTGATTTGCAAAAGATTT